CCTTGCTGCTTTTAATAATTTTTCTTTGTCTTTAATTTTTGCCCAGTTGATTACTATGTGTCTTGGTGTGTTTCTCCTTGGGTTTATCCTGTATGGGACTCGCTGTGCTTCCTGGACTTGGGTGGCTATTTCCTTTCCCATGTTAGGGAAGTTTTCGACTATAATCTCTTCAAATATTTTCTCAGGTCCTTTCTCTCTCTCTTCTCCTTCTGCGACCCCTGTAATGTGAATGTTGTTGTGTTTAATGTTGTCCCAGAGGTCTCTTAGACTGTCTTCATTTCTTTTCATTCTTTTTTCTTTATTCTGTTCTGCAGCAGTGAATTCCACCATCTGTCTTCCAGGTCACTTATACGTTCTTCTGCCTCAGTTATTCTGCTATTGATTCCTTCTAGAGTAGTTTTCATTTCAGTTATTGTATTGTTCATCTCTGTTTGTTTATTCTTTAATTCTTCTAGGTCTTTGTTAAACATTTCTTGCATCTTCTTGATCTTTGCCTCCATTCTTTTTCCGAGGTCCTCGATCATCTTCACTATCATTCTGAATTCTTTTTCTGGAAGGTTGCCTACCTCCACTTCATTTAGTTATTTTTCTGGGGTTTTATCTTGTTCCTTCATCTGGTACATAACCCTCTGCCTTTTCATCTTGTCTCTCTTTCTGTTAATGTGGTTTTTGTTCCACAGGCTGCAGGATTGTAGTTCTTTTTGCTTCTGCTGTCTGCCCTCTCACACATTCATTTATTAAAGCATGGATTTAATAATTTTTTGAACACCTACTACCTGGTAGGCACTGAGGATAGACTAGTGAGTAAAAACAGATGTGGTCTCAGCTACCTGAGAGAGTTCTCTTCATGACTATATAGAGACGTCAAAGGGATCTCTCCAATGACACTGCCTGAAATATCACCCTTGAGAGAGAACAATGGTTTGAGAATCAGATTTATAGACAATGAGCCATTAAAGAAAAGGGGTTGTAAATAAAATAAATGGAGAGACAAAGTTTCATGATAGAATAAGCATTTAAAAATGACCATTGTTTCTAAATTATTTTCTAGGTTTAGTACAACTAAGATCAGGATTCCAAAAAGTTACCATTGTTCAACTTCATTAATAATCAAAGAAATGTAGATGAGAAGTTTGCTTTTAAAAAAAATTAAAAATTGATAAAAACATGATAAATCATAGCTTCTAATGGTGGACTCAGCTCATGACTCCAATCCCATTTTTTCCCCTTGTTTTTTTAATGTCAGTAGCAAAATATTCAAATTCTCAGCCTCCTTACTATCTAGAAATTGCCATGTAACAAATGTTAGTGAACAGAAGTCTAATTGCTCTTTGTGCATTATTTTTTCTTCTTTCTCCCTGGAATACAGATATGATGATTGGAGAGACAGTAACCATTCTGTGTTCATGAGGCTGAAAAAAATATATATACAAAGGATGGTGAAGCAGGAACATCAAAGAAGTCAAGTACCCTCTTGAGACCGTTGTGTCTCACATCAGTCCTCCATTGCCTACCCCTGGAAATTTTGTTTTGTGATAAATAACCCCCTGAACAATTTAAGCTGCTATAAGTTTTTCTATTATTTGTAGCCAAATATAATCCTTGACTAGGGGTTCAAGAAACGGACTCTTTTAGGACAGATTAGTGGTTGCCAGAGGGGAGGGGGCTTGGGGGAGCAAAGTAGGTGAAGAAGATTAAGTACAAATTTCCAGTTATAAAAAAAACAAGGGCTTCCCTGGTGGCGCAGTGGTTGAGAGTCCGCCTGCCGATGCAGGGGACATGGGTTTGTGCCCCAGTCCGGGAAGATCCCACATGCTGCGGAGCGGCTGGGTCCGTGAGCCATGACCACTGAGCCTGTGCGTCCGGAGACTGTGCTCCGCAACGGGAGAGGCCACAACATTGAGAGGCCCGTGTACCGCAAAAAAACAAAAAACAAAAAAAAAACAAGTCATGGGGTTGTAATGTATCGCATGGGTTATATAGTCAATAATATTATATTAACTTTGTAAGGTAACAGATGGTAATTAGACTTATTGTGGTGACCATTTTGCAATGTACATAAGTGCTGAATCAATATGTTGTACCCCTAAAAGTAATATAATATTGTATGTCAGTTACACCTCAATAAAAGAAAAAGAAAGAAATGGACCCTTTAAATCTCTACTGGTAGAAATAAAAATTGACACAAAGTTATCAGACAGACAATATAGATAACTTCAAAAATGTTTATAGATGTCTTTAGTCTAAATCTTGACTCCCTAAATTCACCTGGTCCTTGGAAAGTTACCCATATATCTGAGTCTCAGTTTCTTTAAGTGAATACAGATCATACACATAATAATAAAATACAGATAATAATGGTAAAGTCCTCACATATTGTTTTTTAAAAATTCAATGGAATAACATTACACCCCTTATAAGAGTGCCCGGCTTATGCTAACTGCTTGATACATACTAGCTATTATTATATTTTATTCTTGAGAGTTTTGAAAAGTCTACTTCAATTTCACTCACTCATTAAAAAGACATTTTTGGGCCTTTCTGCTGCTGAAGAATCACTGTGCCATGCATTGTGGTAAACTCTGAAACAGAGTTAAGTTATAACATCAGAGTCACACATTCCTTCTCAGTGCCAGGGCTCAAGGCCCGGGGACCTTCAAGGGAAGGACTCCCGAGGGAGGGACCTGCAGCCTGAAATGAGCAGGGCTCAGCAGGGCCCTCGTGGTTTGCTCTCCCTATAAAGGCTCAGCACTTCACCCACCTCAGGACTCTCTGCAAAGGCGGTAGCTCTGAGTCTCCACTTGGCTGGGAACTCTCAGCTCCTGGCATCTGTGAGGAAGGAAGGAGGGAGCTCTCCGTGCTGTGAGGAAGGTTTTTCTGAGTCTGAGACAAGATCCGAGTGTGTGGGGAGCCATGATGCCAGCTCAGGTCTGGTCTTGGTCTCAGAGATGGGAAGTTTCAGAGAAAGGGGCCCATGGCCTCTTAAGGATTTGTAGCATTGGATAGAGGTGGGGGCTATTCCAGGAGGTTCCAGAATGTTCATAAGCCCATCACTTTCCATTTGAGGTTTCCTTACTCAGAAAGTTCATAGAGCAAGGATGGAAGGAAAAGATGGACAAGCCAGTGACCTTGTGCCTCTCCTTTCCCCTTAGGGGCCGGGGGGCCAGATTCTGTCTCCTGCTGTTCCTCTCTTTGGCCAGCAGAGGGCCGAGTGCAGGTCAGTCACTCAGGAGCTGCAGTTTCTTCAGCTCACCTGAGGTGTGCAGTGGAGCAGAAGGAGTAGAGCTGGGCTGGATGCTGAGGTCCTGGGCCAGAGGGGAGTTATGTAGATGCAGAGAAGCCACACTTTGCAGCCGACTTGAGATGCGGCCTGGGTGCTGACTGCTGGCCTCTCTGGTCTGAAGCTAAGGCACGTCTTGGGGCTGCACTCTGTGCCTCTGTGTAGCTTAGGAGGCTCAGGGAGCCGTGATAAAGACTGTGCTCCCTTCTAGCTACTCCTACTGCTATGGCCTTGGCCCAGGGATTCCCAGAGGGAGCTGGGTGGTCAGAGCTGTGCCCAGGGAATATCCTTCTTTAGTCCCCATCCTCACAATCCCATCCTCACAGTAGGTGTAATGATAGTTTTCACTTTTAATTAATTGAGCAGAAGAATGCAAGTGTTAAGCCTGTACTAGACTGTGGGTCAGCTAGTCATAGCAGAGGTTCCTGACCTCTGGGGCCTCATAGCACAGTGCTGAACTGGTGAAGTGGGCAGGGGCTGGGATCTGATGGCTGCTGTCAGCTGTACCAGACTATTAATGAGAATTATCTTCACATCCTCTAGCAGCGACCCATTCTCCTGAGACATTTTGGGAGAGCAAAACCTGCGCTTCTTTCCTCTTTCCTGCCTAGAAGCGTCAAGGAGATCAGAGAAAGTTGTGGTGAAGCAAATGGTGAGTTATAAACCAACCCAGCGTCCTCTCATCTGAGTCACTTTTAAGCTAAATGGACCCCAGTCATGGACAGCAAGAGGAGTGTGCCCATCACTCTTGACTGCTCTGACTCCAGCTACAGCCAAGGAGATTTCCAGTGAGAACTTTGAGGCTTTTCGGTCCCACCCAGGCACAGCAGACATGATCTTCTGAACACAGAGAGAATGTAGTGCTCCTGGTGACTCTTAAGGTGGTGGCCAGAGCAGTGATGAGTCTAAGATTTTCCCCTTCTTGTAAGCTGAAGAGTTAGCCTGCCACAGTTTCATAGATGCTGGCAGAAAATATGAAACTCCTGACAGTGAGACAAAGAAATGTATTATTCACATTCATAGCAGTAGCCAGAGTACCAGCATTTTCTTGTGCTGCTTCCCTGAGTCCCATCCCCACAGGGTGATGTGAAGAGGGCCAGGAAAACATCTGCAGATTTAGTCTGTTTGCCAAGCAGCTCGTAAATTGGGCTCGTCAAGCAACTACAAACCTTTTCAGAGAGTATAGTTTATTCTCTTTGGGGCTGAGTATGAGGAGGAACTCTGCGCTTAGAGAATCTGAATCTTATATAAGGGCTGAGACCATGCCTGCCCTTTACTCTTAGTTCCAGAGGCTACATCCTGATGTAGACGTGAGATGTGGTTGGGTGCTGATTTCTGGCCTCTCCAGGCCAAGAGGAAGCACAATCCATTGAGAGTTAATATCTCTGTCTTCTAAGGATGTTAGTGCTACAAAGTCTTTGAATATGTAGCATGGAACAAAGGCTGTCAGTGTCCCTGTTCACAGATGACCCATAGAGAATTTCTCGCCACTTTGCAAGTTGTTCTCACCTGTGAACATTAGCCTAGTTTTTACTATTTTAAGAGCCATACAGGGTATTGGTTAAGAAGCCTGGGTTTATATCCTACAAATTGGAGAGGATAGTAATTTTAACTTCATAGTGTTATAATGATGATTAAATGACACATGTCAAGTTCCTAGAAAAGAGTTTGGCACATTGTACGTGTTCAACAAATGCTAACAATTGTTCATTGTTGTTATTTACACTTTCCCCAAGAGTGCAGGGAAGGATGGATGACGGGGCTTTGGAAACAGATACTCATGCTGACCAACTGGTGAGGAGTAAGATGCAGTTTTCTCAGCATCACCAAAGTCATAGACCAGAGGAATAGCTGGGCCATTGTCAGTCTGACAGCTCCCTGATCCGTACTTCACTGGGTATTTCTGCAGGGACCCAAGATACAGGCTGTGTGAGGACAGTAGAGAAGCTGCCACATTGGGAATTGGGGGATTTAGAGCCTTCAGGTGTCAATATGCAGAAATCAGTCTAAATAATAGTGACTCCTTCCCACTCCCCCCACCCCATAGCTAGGTTCCTAACTAGCTTCAAGCCCTTTGTCCCTCTCCCTCTCTACCCCCTCTCTCCTCCTCCATAGGCCTCATCCCATGCTCAGCTCCGATTCCTGAGAGAGGTAGCACATGAGTTCACCTGACCCACAGGTGGAAGAAACAACCAAGCACAAGCACCTGCTAGTGACACGGAACCCAGAGCAGACTTACTTTTCACCCCAGACACTTGGCTCTCTGTTCACCAAAAGAAGTGTGAACAGCCTGCAGCCCCATACACCCGGTAGAGTCCAAACAGCTTGTGTCCCAGATTCGGGAAGAAGCTAGTGTTGGTGCGGTACCTCAGCAGGGAGCTGTTCCTCCAGTGCTGCAGGGGGCGCTTGTTGGGCACATGCCACATGCCCAGGTCCTGGGCCTGGATGTCATAGTAACCAGGATTCTGCAGAGCAACACACACACTGATCCTGAACAGCCCAGGAGGTCCCACTAACCAAAGACCCACACATGCAGTTCTCAGTTGAGCTGAGAGCTCTGGGCTCCAGGGGGGCAGGTGGCAGCAACGCTCAGACACCTGCCATCGCCAGCAGATGATAAGGCCCCACCGCCCAAAAAGACCCGGTGGGAGAAAGTCGTGATTCAAGACATGGACTTTTTTCCTTCTTCTTCTCCAGCCCTACCTCCTCATCCCCATCTCCCACCCTCCCTTCCACACACTCTGCTCCAGCCACACTCAGCTCTCCACCCTTTCCCAGCTGGGTGGTCAGTGCCACCAACCTTGTATCACTGGTGGACGCCTCTACAGACCCAAACGTGTTGGCCCAGTTGCCATCCCCCTCTGGGCAGTCTGCCGTGCTGCCCTGCTGACTCGACCAGCGATCACCTACCGTGCATTTCCCAGGAATGTGGTTCTCGTGCACACTGGCCACTAGGGTTCAGCCGCCATCCCCAGAGGTCATGTCACAGAAGGTCTGGTAGATGACGCCATTCTCAGTGTAGAGGAAATACAGGCCATCTGTGGACGGAACCAGCCTAGAGAGCCCGTGTCTGTGAGTACAGGGTCCATTTCAGGCTCCAAAACCAGAAACACCCTGGGAAGTCAGAAATGTATCCTAGAGGCTCCCGCACATATCCATTTGTTGGTGTAGGGAATCCCTGTGCTGGTGAAAGGGAAGCTGTTTCCAGTTCTTCCTTTGAATACTTGACCCTTCTCTGCCTCTTCTTTTCCAGGGGAATTTGTTGCAGGATTTGTCCAGTTCAGGGTGTTTAATAATGAGAGAGCAGCCCAATGCCCTGTGTGCTGGGATGAGAGTCACTGGCTGCAACACTGAGCACGTGAGTTTATTTATTTATTTATTGGCTGCGTTGGGTCATCGTTGCTGCAGGCAGGGGCTTTCTCTAGTTGCGGCGAGCAGGGGCTACTCTTTGTGGCGGTGTGTGGGCTTCTCATTTCGGTGGCTTCTCTTTGTTTTGGAGCACAGGCTCTAGGTGCGCGGGCTTCAGTAGTTGTGGCACGTGGGCTCAGCAGCTGTGGCTCGCGGGCTCTAGAGCGCACGCTCAGTAGTTGTGGTGCACGGGCTTAGTTGCTTCGCGGCATGTGGGATCTTCCCGGGCCAGGGCTCAAACCTGTGTCCCCTGCATTGGCAGGCGGATTCTTAACCACTGCGCCACCAGGGAAGTCCCAAGCATGTGATTTTTGAGACGATATACGGCCTGGTGTGTTTGTGTGTGTGTATGTGTGTGTGTGCACACCCACTCTATGGAGTATGTTGATGTGTTTCTCCATGGCTTGCATTTTTACTTTTTTGCTGGTATTTTGTAGACATAATTTTTAAATTGTTACTATTATTTTTTAATTGAGATGTAATCGACATATAACATTATATAAGTTCCAGGTGTATAACATAATGATTCTATATTTTTATATATTGTGAAATGATCACCATAATAAGTCTCGTCAGCACCCACCACCACACATAGTTACAAATTCTTTTTTCTTGTGATGAGAACTTTTTTTTTTTTTTTTTTTTATGGTACGCGGGTCGCTCACTGTTGTGGCCTCTCCCGTTGCGGAGCACAGGCTCCGGACGCGCAGGTTCAGCGGCCATGGCTCACGGGCCCAGCCGCTCCGCGGCATGTGGGATCTTCCCGGACCGGGGCACGAACCGGCGTCCTCTGCATCGGCAGGCGGACTCTCAACCACTGCGCCACCAGGGAAGCCCGATGAGAACTTTTAATATCTACTCTCTTAGTAACTTTTCAATGTACAATACAGTATTGTTAACTATAGTCACCAGTCTGTACTTTATATCCACAGGACTAATTTTATAACTGAATGTTTGTACCTTTTGACCACTGGACATAATTTCCTGTATTGAAGTGCAATTTATCTGTATCCTCATGTATGATTAGTACTTTTATGTTGTGTTTAAAAAGTATTTCCAGGGCTTCCCTGGTGGCGCAGTGGTTGAGAATCCGCCTGCTGATGCAGGGGACACGGGTTCGTGCCCTGGTCCGGGAAGATCCCACATGCCGCGGAGCAACTGGGTCCGTGTGCCATGGCCGCTGAGCCTGTGCGTCCGGTGCCTGTGCTCCGCAACGGGAGAGGCCACAACAGTGAGAGGCCCGCCCCGCGTACCGCAAAAAAAAAAAAAAAAAAAAATATGGGCATAGGACTTGAGTAGACATTTTTCTAAAGAAGATATAGAACCAGCCAACAAGCACATGAAAAGATGTCCCACACCACTAATCACTAGGGAAATGCTAATCAAAACTATGAGATACCACTTTACACCCTTAGGATGGCCTTTATAAAAAAAAATAATAAACAGAAAATAACAAGTGAGGAAGACCCAAGAATTTGCATTTCTATCAAGCTCCTAGGTGATTCTGATTTTTAGGAATTCTTTATATGCTCTAGATACAGCCTTTTATTCATTATGTGTGTTACAAATTCTTTTCCCATTCTGGGCCTTGCCTTTTCACTTTATGGGTTTTTGATAAACAGAGGTTCTTAATTGTAATGAATTGCAATTTACTGTTCCTGTTCCTTTTGTGTCTTATTTAATAAATTTTTCCTTATTCCCAGGTCATGAAGATACTTGTGGGGTATATTCACAGGTATCTTTACCTGTGTAATATTCTAAAAGCACTGTTGTTTTATGTTTCACATAAAAATCTACAGTTGAGCTGTAATTGACTTTTTTCTTTATTGAGAGGTAGGAGTTGCTTAATTTTCTTTTCCATTTTGATTTCAAACTGTCCCAGCACCCCTGTGATTGATTTACTGTTATTTTCCCCACTTCTTTGCACTTTCCCGATGGGTGGTTTGGTGCCCACTTGCTTTCTCCACTTATTTTCTCTCCACATCTTCATGTCCTTAGAGTGTCCTATCCATGGAAATCCAGGCTGGAAGTAAGGGAATTTCACAAAACTGGGTTCTCCTTTGGGCTGGCAGGAAGACCATTTAAAATGGGTAAGAAAAAGAGACTCCCGCAAAGGCCCAGAAATCATCTCCCCAGTTTTGGAGTCTGCAGTGTGCTGAAGGTTCTCTGCAGCTCAGAGACATCCACTCTGATGCAAGGTAGACCCTGCTTGTAGATGTATCACCAGAATTCTGCCTTCAACTTCACGTGATGTGTCTGTCTCTGTGTCCAAATATTACTTTTTCATAAGGACATAGGACTAATATTTTCTATTTTGAGAACATCTTAGCACAGCTCTGTTACCTCCACTCCATTGAACCACTAACTTGAAGGAATTATTGTTCCTAAGAAAGTAACTCGTGGACACTGACCCCTCTCCTGGCAATGAAGAAAACAACAGAAAAGAGATTCTGGTCATTGCCATTGAAAAAATATAACCAAGGTGCAGAAAGTGTCCTAGTGATCACTTTTATTTCCCTTTCTCTTTTCTAGGCGTGAAATCCCAAAGGGAAAGGGATGGGAGACTTAATGATCAACCAAGAACAGCCCATGAATTTTCCTTCCAAGGGGTGGAGGAGCGTTCTCTTACTCTCTCCCTTCTTCCACCAGCTGCTTGGAATGCAGATTTTCCTGCTAAATTGGGATGCTGTGGTTGTCTTGCAGACCCTCTGGGGATTGCTGCTGTGTCCTTTAGGTGGAAAACCCGTGTTGCTTCTGCCCACATACTTTGCCCAATGGAGACGAGGATTTTGGTTTTCTCAGGCTAAGCAGAGAATCACAGACTTAGAACTTGTCATAAAGTTCATTTACTTCAATGGGAAAAATATAATGTTTACAAAATTTAAAAATTTGCTAATTAAAGATTAAAAAGCAAACATTTAACATTATTATTATTTACTATAAATATATAATATGTTAAATATTTAGAGCACATATTTGTAGAGCACATTTTACTAATATAAAAGTCAAAAACAGGGCTTCCCTGGTGGCGCAGTGATTGAGAGTCCGCCTGCCGATGCAGGGGACACGGGTTCGTGCCCCGGTCCGGGAAGATCCCACATGCCGCGGAGTGGCTGGGCCCGAGAGCCATGGCCACTGAGCCTGTGCGTCTGGAGCCTGTGCTCCGCAACGGAAGAGGCCACAACAGTGAGAGGCCCGCGTACCGCAAAAACAAAAACAAAAACAAAAGTCAAAAGCATCAATAAAAAAGGAAAAATTTCAGGCTTTGACACTTCAGGAAGCTTTGAAGACAATAGTCTCCCAGATATTTAAAAACAAAACCAAACCAAACCTCAAGAGCAGCTTCTGTGAGAAAGATATAAAGTAATCTTTGGTCCAGAAATGGGTGGACTTCAGCACTTTACTTGAAGGATTTACTTGGAGCCCTACATGCATCTCCAACAGAACCCACACTAAGCCTGCAAAGCTCTTGTTTCTCAGGAACAATAAGTGAAGCAAATACAGTATGAGTTCTATGACAATTCAGGCAGCGCATAAAAAAAACCAAACGTGATGTCCCTTCCTGCAAGATATCAAGGTCTCCGCTTCATCTCAAACAGCTGATGCCAGGGGCAGAATCTGGTTTACCTAGATGCAAGAGGCCACTGATACAAGACAAAGTGTGTTTTCTAAATGACTTCACAGTAAGAAAAAAAAAAATCCAGGATTTTCAAGGTGGGGAAAAGTTATGAGACTCCCTCCACATTGACTAAATATCTGAGGTAAGAGCAATCAGAACTAATCGCTATCCCTTCTCCCAACGTCAGGGAGCTGTAGAAAAGGCTGCCTTGTTGCTCAACAGAGAAGGAAAGAGAAAAAAAAAATACATATATATATATGAGAAGATTAGTCTCAACATAGATTTATACCCCATTCACTGGATCAAAACAAATTATAAAACCATCATACTTATTTCCACAATATGCTCAAAAGTATGTACAGGCAACCAGAAACTATAAGTCTACATAGAAAGTTTGAAGAAAAATAAATGAATTGCTAGAAAAGATATAGTTTTAAAAATTCAATTAACATCTATTATTAATATCATTTTACATGAAAGATATTTTAATAACAACAAAATAGAAAGGACATAATCACAGAGTAAATATAGTTCTTTACCTTGAATACATCTAATTGCATGGAAGATCCACATTTTTGTTCTTATATTTTTTATGATGTATGCCAACTCCTGGAAACTGTCATGACCTGCCACCATCTTTAGAGGGCAACTTGTGAATCTCTGATTTAGTAAAAACTCCTCTCATGATCAAAACTTTTGACATCATTCATACCCCAGATCAATGAGTTCTCTGAGAAAATATATTTACCTCCCTTTCTCAGTGACAGAATCAACCACTTCTTCCTATGTATTTTCATAATTCTGAGACAAGCTTTTATTATGTAACTGATAACATTGCATTCAAATATTTATTTGCCTCTTTTAGCAATTATTAAGAGAGATGGTGATTTCCCATGTTTGCTAAGCTAATATTTTCTATTTTGAGAACATCAAGGAAATGAATTACTCAAAGGGTTCAGATGAATTAAAGCAAGAAATGAGTTCTCAGATGTCTAGCGTTACAAAGTTTTAAAAAAACAACAACAAAAAATTGCAGGAATAGACTATAACCAGGCCTAAAACCGGTGTCTGCCACCAGGGTGTTGTGACTACAAAACAAGCTTTCAGTACTCCTGTACACTGTGATATCCTGTAAGATTGAAATGTTAGTGTACTAACTGGGGTAAAACCAGGATGGGTTTTTAAGCAAGGAATGGATATGGTGACATTTTTTAAGAGGAATGTAGTTTTATTCAATTTGAAAATTTAATGCAAAGTGTTCCTCAAGATATATATTAAGATACACATTCAGATTTCATATTTTTGAAAAACACTAAAATATTTTATTATACCCCAAATACTGGGATTTTGGAACTTAAAAGCTCTGTATTTCAGAATGTCAGCATATGCCAAACCTGTACTGTAATCACAAACTCCCCACTAGGCCCAGGTTTTCAGGCTGCTTGAGGTCTTACCCAGCAGTTACACACTTTTCTGGTAGGTCACTGAATACACATTTGTCCTCATATTCTCAATAGTCCTTTGTTAGAAACAGTATTCAGCAGAGAATAAACCCATATGTTGATGATCAAAGAATGAACATCTGGAAGATTACTAAATCCAAACGTAATTAAAAATGTATTGTTTTACTCCCCCAAATTTTACTAAGCAAATTTTAGAAGTTTTATATATCATGTAGAAACAATATTGCTCAGCTCCCTCAGCTGCTAGGTTGGGTCTGTGTCACTAGTTACTATATTGCACATGAGATACCACATAGCAAATACATGCTCTTGACTGAGGTGGATGGAGACAAAGATTTTGGGAGTGGTATTTTTGTGTGTGTGTATATATATATATATATATAGTGCCTGCATATGTGTCTGTGTGTCTGTGTGTGTCCTGACTGAAGATGATTTATCAAGGAAATTTTTCCATACTGTTTGCCTGTTGAAGACCCAGAATCAGTTATTCCTTTTGCTCCTGCTTGCAAAACAGACCACCTTTTCTCTCTGAGGTCCTGTCCTTTGTAATATAGAACCAAGGCAGCTGACATGCAGTGCTCACATTGTTTCCCAGAGGTCTTCCCTTAAAGCTCCAGTGCAGTAGGTACATCACATACCTCCTGAGATACCACAGGCAACACATGTAACATTTTCCCTACAACAGAACACAGAACTCCATCCTTTAACCTCCAAGATTAGTTTCTTCATCAGCTATAAGCATGCCACCAAGCCAGGGCTACATATTTGAGTTATTTCCTGAGGCTGGGAAAAGGGCAATGTTGACTTGTGCCCTGCCTGGTAAAGGCTTCAGCCTGAAAATAACCTTTTCTGCTTACATTCCTTGGCTAGAACAAGTCCATGGCCCTTTTTAACTTCACAGATAAGAGGTGCAGTCTTCCATGTGCCTCTAAAAAGAAGTGGATTGAATCAGAGTGAACAACACTAATGATTACCTGAAAGTTTTCCTGATGAAGTGACATTAGTGGTCATTTACTTATGGCTGTAAGAAACAGCAGAGATGCATGGGAGACAGTTCGGTCCTCTTTCTGTATCTCCTTCCCTCTCTCTTCTTCCTTTCCTCCACCCCTCCCTCCCCCTTTCCTTTTTTTTCATAATGACTTAGACACTTATAAACCACTACCCAACTCCAAAACTGGAATGTTATTAATAACCTATACCTACCCATGTGCTCCTCTACATTGCCGTTGTCTGAATTTGTGTTTACCATTCTGTTGTGTAGACTTGCTTGGGCCAAGATTGTGGCCTGAGCTCTACTTCCTTTCATAGGCACAACAAAATTAAAACAGAGTAACTATTGATGAGAAAGATTGGAATCTAACAGAAAAGATCTTCTACAACTAAAGATATAGAGAAGGAATCTCAAGGAGTTAGGTAGGAGGGGTGGAGTCTTGATATATCAAGACCCATACCCTTGGGTGGATGACCCATAAATGGGAACATAATTACAATTGCAGAAGCTCTTCCTGAGGAGTGAGTGCTCTGAGCCCCACATCAGGCTCTCCAGACTGGGGGCCCTGCACTGGGACGATGAGCTCCCAGAACGTTTGACTTTGAAGGTCGGCAGGGCTTACTTTTGGGAGAGCCAGAGGGCCGTGGGAAACAGAGACTCCTCTCTTAAAGGGGGCACACAGGATCTCACACACTCCAGGACCCAGGGCAGAAACAGTAATCTGAAAGGAGCTTATAGCTCATAGCCACCTGCCTATCTTGGGAAGCCTCATGGAGAGGTAGGAGGTAACTGGAGCTCACCCTGGTGACATAGACATTGGTAGCAGCCATTTTTGGGAACTTGTCCTACTACCTGGGCACTGGTGCTGGCAAGCACCATTTTGTAATCCTCTATCTAGCTTATTAGCACTGGAACCTGCCCCACCCACCAATACTGTGATGTCTCAGGCCGTGCAACTGATTGGTGGGGACACAGTCTCACCCACCAGTAGGCAGGCTGCCTTAAGACTCCCTGAATTGACACCTTCCTTATGACATGGCCTGTCCACCAGAGGGTCCAGGACCCTGCCCCCCACACCAGGGCATAGGCAGTAACCCTAGAACCCCCAGAGCCCTGCAGCCAGAAATTCCAGGATCTGGCTCTGCCTGCCAGTGGGCTGGTAGGCCAAACGACCAGTAAGACAGAAATACAGCCCCACCCTTTAAAAAAAAAAAAAAGGAACAGCAAAAAATATGTTACAATGAAGGAGCAAGGTAAAAACCTACAAGACCAAATAAGTGAAGATGAAATAGGCAGCCTACCTGAAAAAGAATTCAGAGTAATGATAGTAAAGATGATCCAAAATCTCAGAAACAGAACAGAGAAAATACAAGAAACGTTTAACAAGGATCTAGAAGAACTAAAGAGCAAACAGTGATGAACAGCACAATAACTGAAATTAAAAATACTCTAGAAGGAATCAATAGCAGAATAACTGAGGCAGAAGAAAGGATAAGTGACCTGGAAGATAAAATGATGGAAATAACTGCTGTGGAGCAGAATAAAGATAAAAGAATGAAAGAATTGAGGTCTCAAAGACCTCTGGGACAACATTAAGTGCACCAACATTCGTATTATAGGGGTCCAGGAGAAGAACAGAAAGAGAAAGCATCTGAGAAAATATTGGAAGAGATTAGAGTTGAAAACTTCCCTAACATGGGAAAGGAAATAGTCAATCAAGTCCAGAAAACACAGAGAGTCCCATACAGTATAAACCCAAAGAGAAACACACAGAGACACATATTAATCAAACTTTCAAATATTAAATACAAAGGAAAAAATATTAAAAGCAGCAAGGGAAAGCAACAAATAACATACAAGGGAATCCCCATAAGTTAACAACTGATCTTTCAGCAGAAACTCTGTGAGCCAGAAAGGAGGGGCAGGACATATTTAAAGTGATGAAAGGGAAAAACCTACAACCAAGATTACTCTACCCAGAAAATATCTCATTCAGATTTGATGGAGAAGTCAAAAGATTTGCAGACAAGTAAAAGCTACAAGAATTCAGCACCAACAAACCACGTTTACAACAAATGCTGAAGGAACTTCCCTAAGTGGGAAACACAAGAGAAGAAAAAGACCCACAAAAACAAACCCAAATCAATTGAGAAAATGGTAATAGGAACATACATATCGATTATCACCTTGAATGTAAAACGATTAAATGCTCCAACCAAAAGACAAAGACTGGCTGAATGGATACAAAAACAAGACTCTTATATATACTGTCTACAAGAGACCCACTTCTGACTTAGGGACACATACAGACAGAAAGTGAGAGGACAGAAAAAGATATTCCATGCAAATGGAAATCACAAGAAAGCTGGAGCAGCAATACTCATATCAGATAAAATAGACTTTAAAATAAAGACTGTTACAAGAGATAAGGAAGGACACTACATAATGATCAAGAGATCAATTCAAGAAGAAAACATAACAATTATAAATATTTATGCACCCAACATAGGAGCACCTCAATACATAAGGCAAGTGCTAACAGCCATAAAAGGAGAAATCAACAGTAACACAATAATAGTGGGGGACTTTAACACCCCAATTACACAAATAGACAGATCATCCAGAGAGAAAATAAATAAGGAAACACAGGCTTTAAATGACAAAATAGACCAGATAGACTTAATTGGTATTTTTAGGACATTCCACCCAAAAGCAGAAGAATACACTTTCTTCTCAAGTGCTTACGGAATGTTCTCCAGAATAGATCACATCTTGGGTCACAAATCAAGCCTTGGAAAATTTAAGAAAACTGAAATCATATCAAGCATCTTTTCTGACCAAAAAGCTATGAAATTAGAAACCAATTAGAGGAAAAAAACAGTAAAAAACACAAATACATGGAGGCTAAACAGTGCACTGCTAAATGACTAAGAGATCACTGAAGAAATCAAAGAAGAAATAAAAAAATACCTAGAAACAAATGACAATGAAAACACAATGATCCAAAACCTATGGGACACAGCAAAAGCAGTTCTAAGAGGGAAGTTCATAGCAATTCACGCTCACCTCAAGAAACAAGAAAAATCTCCAAAAAACAATCTAACTTTACACCTGAAGCAACTAGAAAATGAAGAACAAAGAAAACCCAAAGTTAGTAGAAGGAAAGAAATCATAAAGATCAGAGCAGAGATAAATGAAATAGAAACAAAGAAAACAATAGCAAAGATCAATAAAACTAAAAGTTTGTTCTTTGAGAAGATAAACAAAAGCAATAAACCTTTAGCCAGACTCATCAAGAAAAAAAGGGAGAGGACTAAACTCAATAAAATTAGAAATGAAAAAGGAGAAATTACAATTGACCCTGCAGAAATACAAAAGATCATAAGAGACTACTATAAGCAACTTTATGCCAATAAATTGGACAACCTGGAAGAAATGGACAAATTCTTGGAAAAGTACAACTTTCCAAGATTGAACCAGGAAGAATTAGAAAATATAAACAGACCAAGAACAAGTAATGAAGTTGAAACTGTAATTAAAAACCTTCCAACAAACAAATGTCCAGTTCCAGATGGTTTCACAGGTGAATTCTATCAAACATTTAGAGAAGAGTTAACACCTATCCTTCTCAAACTCTTCCAAAGAATTGTGGAGGGAGGAACACTCCCAAACTCATTCTACGAGGCTACCATCACCCTGATAGCAAAACCAGACAAAGATATCACAAAAAAAGAAAATTATAGACCAATATCCCTGATGAACATAGACGCAAAAATCCTCAACAAAATACTAGCAAACAGAATCCAACAACGCATTAAAAGGATCATATGCTATGATCAAGTGGGATTTATCCCAGGGATGCAAGGATTTTTCAGTATATGCAAATCAATCAATGTGATACACCATATTAACAAATTGAAGAATAAAAACCCTACGAGCATCTCAATAGATACAGAAAAAGCTTTTGACAAAATTCAACAACAATTTATGATAAAAACTCGCCAGGAAGTGGGCATAGAGGGAACCGACCTCAACATAATAACAGCCATATATGACAAACCCACAGCAAACATCATTCTCAATGGTGAAAAACTGAAAGCATTTCCTCTAAGATCACAACAAGACAAGGATGTCCACTCTCACCACTATTATTCAGCATAGTATTGGAAGTCCTAGCCACAGCAATCAGAGTATAAAAAGAAAAAAAGGAATACAAATTGGAAAAGAAGAAGTAAAACTGTCACCGTTTGCCGATGACATAATACTATACATAGAAAATCCTAAAGATGCTAGGATTCTAGAAACAAATGCAACCAGAAAACTACTAGAATTAGTCAGTGAATTTGGTAAGGTTGCAGGATACAAAATTAATGCACAGAAATCTCTTGCATTCCTATACACTAACAACGAAAGATTTTTTGTGGTCTAATATGTGGGTATGTGGACATGTGTAACCTGTGTAGTAGATGTAACCGCACATGGAATCAGAAAACCTGTCAGCACTGATATGGATTATACATGACAGACAAACAACAATGTGGAGAAAAGAAAATCCTCCAGAATAGAGTTTGCCATGTCAAGAAAATTTCATTTATGGTTTATTGCGAATGTTCATATCATTAAAAAAACAAGATAATTTGGTTTTAAGTTCCTAACTGCAGTATGAAACTTTGATCACATGTGCTTGTTTTCAGAGGTGCCAGTGTACCACAACTCAAAAAATTAAAGGGAACATTGGCTTGCACAAATTACCTTATCATTCAGACCTCAATTTTGATCTTCTAAATTTATAATTCACAAAGTAGGTGCAATTCACAAACTAGGTGGCAGGGCACCTAGAGTCATTATGTTTTCTTTTCCATTTTGCAAAACACTCAAATGTAACAATTTAGGTATAAAATTGGATGCTAAATCAGATTCTGATTTATACTATACAGTTGACCCTTGAAAAATGAACAATGTGGAGGTTACGGGTGCTGATCCCGCCCCTACCAAAGTCTAAAATTTGAGTATAACTTTATAGTTGGCCCTCCATACAGGCGGTTCTGCATCCGTGGATTCAACCAGCCACAGGTCGTGCAGTACTGCAGAACATATTGAGTGACCAAAAAAAAAAAAGGTTTACTCTCCCTCAAGTAAGAGAAAATTCTCCCGCCTGATGACCTTCCAACTGAGACCTTGGCTCTGCAGATTTTGGATTTGCCAGCCTCCATAATTTCATGAGCCAGTTCTCTATAATAAATCTCTTTATCTCCATC